GAGGAGATAATAGAACGGTATTCCTGTCGTATACAGGAATTATATCTGTATCTCCATTCGTAGATACAAAATTGAAGGGACGAACCTTTGGCTGAAAAGAAATAGTAAGAAATAATGCTAGAAATACTCTTCGAATATGAAATACGACAAGGCCGATTCAATATTCAAGTCAATCAAGCTTTAACATAAACCTTTTCGTACATGATCTTAAGGAGCCCTTGTGTACGCTTTCCACCGTTCCGTGGAGGTGCATTTCCCAAAACAGCTGTTAGTGGCAAAAGGACTCGGGTGTTTGTTCGACCATCAAAAAGGCAGTGACACTTTTACGTTGATTAAATTTTCCTGCATTTTTTAGCAAACGTAAGCTCTCTTATCCATAGCCAGTTCTCCTTTCTAATATTTGCATCTTTTTGCTTAGATATATGGAAAAGTGTAGGTTGACTAACAGGGCATGCCCTCCTCCGTTGTCTCCTTTCTTTGCATCATAAAAAAAGATTTGTTGTTGTTAAAATAGAGGAAAAAATGTCAAAATGAATAATTCATCGAAAAATAAAAACAGCGATCTTCGAAAAATACGATCAAGCCCGAAAAACTGTATGAATCGACAAAAATTCAAGTTAATGAATAAATATTATTTCATATTTCTTTTTCTTCTCCCTTTTTAAAAATATGAAATAGGCGAAAAAGTGTGCGGCACTGAAACAAACTTGAGGATGCTCTCTTAGAATACTCACTCCAAGTCCCTTGATAATACATACCGTTGGGAGATTATTTTTCGCTAGTTTGCAAAGCACGAATTGAAAAATTTACTCCATATTGGGGAAGGGTAGGGGAGGTAACGGTCACCCCTCTTAACTTCTCACCCCCAACCCCCTATATTTGCGCCCCCGCTTTTTAGCACATGCAATTTCTCTTATTCATAGCCAGTGCAATTCATCTTTTAGTGTACAGACGGCTGAAAATGGACAATTTGTGATCAATTTGTGCTGTTGACGTTTCGAGTAACATCATGTTTGACCTCTCAAATATCTATGGAAACTAGAGGCACGATATCAACGCCGGTAAAATAGGATAAGTAATACAATTGAGTCACGCCAAAACATCGGGCGAAGGCTTTTTACTTCTATATTTTATCGACTCAATGAAGAAGGCCTTATAAAATTCATGGCCCTGGCATTTTTGAAAGCTTGAGTTGCAGCTATAAATTTCTCTTAATTGCTCACAAAAGAAAATTCTTGACGAGCTTACAACGATGGTCCAAAGAGTTTTGTTATTTTTCGATATATTCAAATAATCCTCAAATCATAAAAAAGTTGAAAATGACTCGAAAGTGACGCTCCTAAAATGATCGATGAAATTTTTTTGCATTTCATTTTTCAAGGGATGAATTCCACCGATGATGCGCCATCCGTTGGTGAACAGCTTTTGTCAAACTCTCAGATGATCCTGGTAATTTCGTTTTACGTTGTAATCTTTATAGTGGCGCTATTTGGAAACTCCATCGGATTGTACGTGGTCTTCGTCAAAGCAGTCACTAGAAAATTAACCAATCTTTTGATCAAGAACCTGGCAATCGCTGACTTGTTAGTGACATTGACTATCATGCCATACTCAGTACTGCACATGTTTTTCAAGCCAAACCAATGGTTTGGAGGTCCTGCTGGCACAGTCACGTGCAAAGCAATTTTCTACGCCTTACCTGTTTCTATTGCTGCATCCATAATAACAATGGTGGTTATTTCTCTTGAAAGATTTTGCGCCATCTATTGTCCACTGCGTCAAACCTTGCTCCGAAACGGTAAAACGTTAACAGCAGTAATCTGGCTCATTTCTTTGATTTCTATGAGTCCTTATCTGCTCCTCTTCAACGTTGTTCATTATAGGGGGTTCCATTTTTGTCTGCCACGTTTGCCATGGACAGACGACCCTCAAGAGGTATTGCCAGTCTTGAAGATATTCTACATCATCTTGTTCGTCCTGTTTTATGTCCTCCCCCTCCTAGGAATATCTTTCCTGAACATCATCACTGCTCGACGCTTGTGGTTTCACAATGCGCGAGGAACCAACTCCAGGACGGCAAGTGAACTACGGAGGCGGAGCGTTGTCAAAATGTTAATGATCATTGTCTTGGCATTCACGTTGTGTTGGTTACCCGCACACGTGATGCATTACTTTTTCCTTTCAAAACAGGCCAAAATTCCCAAATTAACAGGTTACTTGTTGTTTTGGGTGTCACATTCAAACAGTGCTATAAACCCTTTATTGTACATGGCTTTTAACAGAAGATTTCGTTGTGCATGCCTTAACGTATCTATTGCATTGCTCAGGTCACCCTTCCATGCAGTGCATGTGCAAATCACCCCTCTCCACAGAAGTCTATACCGACAGAATTTCGAACAAACAAGCAACCCGCAAGACAACGTGAAGACAGAGCTTTTTGCATGGAACCTGTCGCTAGTGCCTGTCAAAACCGTCCGCGTGGACTGTACCAAGAAACTAAGGTGTAAATCCATCGATAGGAAGTATTTAGCTAAGTGTTTAACGAGTCTGGTCAGAAAGTGGAAGAAGGAGTGGTCTGCTATGATAGTTATTCCATATTTAAAATACATTAATGTTAAAACCTGATACATGTGTGGAAATCATGGGCATTTTTTATTAAACTGTAATGTACTACACATTTCTCCTGTGTATGCAACTATGCATTGGCATTCATGATCCGTAACTCCGCAGGCCTAACTTCTTTCAATGACTGAATAATTAAGAAGTTTTCCTCCGCATCTCTTTTCCCACCAGATTTTACAGTCGATACAATCTTCCTTCTCCCCTCGTGTCCGATAATTAAGGCGAGGTTAATTCAGGAATAAAATATCCGATAATTATTAAGGCAAACTAGCAAAAGCACAGGCTAATTTCAATACAAATTCAGGTAATCATAGGTATCTGGGACAAATTGACGAGATAAAATTTGACAAAAAGAATCAAACGAAAATCAAGACATCTCTTCGTTTATTAAGTTTGAGCTAAGCAATTCTAACATCTAGTGTTTACAAGAAAGCTAATACACGTACGTACATCATTATCATAAAACTTGTCCAGCTTCGTAGGGCATATAACGAAGAGTTCCCTCAAGAAACCACGAAACTGTTTTTGATTATCATCATTTTTCTCAACAGTATTACTTAAGAAACTGGCTCATGTCAGCTTTAGTAAATCAACTTTTAGCCGTGTTGAGTGGCCGTTTTGATATTCCCCACCCATAGGGCAGTTACAAAGGCAAACGATATTTTTTTAAGTGCTGTTAAAACCACAGTACTTTATGACAGTTGGGCTGAATTAAATTCGTCTTAATCACAGGAGGGTTCGATAAGCGGAACTAAATCCATATTTGTTATACCACGGTTGTCTTTTTCGCTTGGTACAGACGAACAATCGGTCGATAAGCTTGTTTAAAACAGGGACATCTTCGGCAAAAACATGATTTTAGAGTGGAAATCAGTGTAGAACGAAGATGATCATTAAACATTATGTAAAGGCATGGATTTATGGCGCTGTTTGCGTGCGCTAACCACAAGAAAAAGAACTCGAACCCAATAGGTAGCTTGGATTCTTGGCGGATGAACCAAAAGTAGTGATTGACATACGTTGGAAACCAACAGAGCGCAAACAGTACGACAATTATGATCAACAACCGCGCAATCTTGCGTTTAGATCTGTCAGCAGCAGTTCGACTGTCACGCGACACGTTTCCTGGGATTTTGCGAAGCCACAACTTTCGGC